GTGTGTGTGTGTGTGTGTGTGTGTGTGTGTGTGTGTGTGTGTGTGTGCAGATGGAGGGAGCGAGCAGGAGCTAACAATCCCAACTCCTGCAGAGAAGGAGGAAAGAAACTGAAAGAGAATAATCTGGTGGAAAACTCCACGGGAGACATTTAAAGCCGCGAAAACAAACAGAGAGAAAGGGAGGAGTCGTCGTCCTTCACGAGAGGCAACGGTGAAGCTCCCCGACGACACAACACAAACCAGGGCAACAAATAAATGCCGTGGAAAGTTGGAGTCTTTGGAGTTTGACTGGTGATGAGCAACAAGGCCGAGCGCCTCTCTTTAGCACATGAATCGAGGCAGGCGGCAGAGCTCACTCATTAAAAACACCCTTTGATTGGTCCTCAGATCTGTGAAACGGCATCAAAGCTTTATTTGAATTTTTTTGGGGCTCTGGTTTGCTGGAAACTGCAGAAAAAGAGAAGGAACCTGCTGCGAACTGATGTCTCAGAGTGGACCTTAAACTGATTTGATCCCAATCAAAGTGGCTGTTTAAACACAGCTCAGAGCGGGAGGTCTGGGACCAAAACCTGCTCGCAAGGCTGAGAAACAACAGTAAATTTCCCTGAGAGGTTTCTGTACCTTGCTGCTGGGCCAGATTCTGGCTCTGAGGGCAGCTGTAGGGCAGCGGGTTGGCGGGGGGGCGGTAGTGCTGCTGCTGGCCGGAGCAGTGGGGGTGGTGGGCCGAGGAGCAGTAGCACGCAGACATCTGAGGACAGAAAAAAACAAAAACAAAAACAGATTGACACTCGGAGCTTTACGGGCTGCTGTTTGAACTCCCGGAGGGGGGGGCGGCGTCGGGACCCCACCTGGTGGACGGGCGGCTGCATGTAGGCGTGCTGCTGCAGGAGCGGCTGGCCGAGGGAGGCCCCGGAAAAAGGGGCGGGGCCTGGGCCGGGGTAGGCGTGGGCGTGGCCGTGGGGGGGGGGGTGCTGACCCTGCAGCAGCCCCGGGTGGCCCCCGGAGGGCCCCGCCACCACGTAGCTGGTGACCTGCTGCTGGGGGGGAGGGGCGCCCTGCAGCATCACGGGGGACGGGTGGTGGCTGTACACGGAGGGAAAGTGGCGGCCGTCCGGGGCCGCAGCTCCGCTCTCATTGGCCGGCTGCTGCGCCAGAGTCATGTGACTGAACTGGGCGTTGAGGACGTCAGGCTGCAGACAGAGTTTAGCGTTACGTTCTGCTCACAGCGTCCTCCCACGGAGCGACAGATATTATGCTAAATCTGTCATGTGCATCAAGAGTGAACACCAGTCCAGGTCGTTTCTGACATGTTGTTGGAAAAGTCGTGCTTTTAGTCATGGATTATTCAGCGCCAACATCTGGTGATGAATTAAATATTCATGGAACTTTCCACAGGCATAATTAGCCACAGAGGCATGTCGTTCACTAAAACCAGGTCAGAAATGAGGTTAAGCGAATGCATGATCTACATTTCTGGATTTAGATGCACCTTTCCACCCAAAAAAAAAAAATGAACTGACGACTGGAGGAACATGAGGTCTGTTTTAAAGTATTGAAAGGGGAGATGATGACGTGCTGCATGTGAGAAAAAGTCAACTGAGGGCAGTAAAACCAAAGTCAAATTTCTAACGTTTTGCTATAAATAACTGTTTCTAATTAAATTCTATGAGGAGATAAACTCCAAATCATTGAGGTCTGGCAGGAGGTGGAGCAGAGCGGGAAGAATAATAACAAAAATGGAAGAAAGAGGTTCTGTACCACAGTGTATTGTTGGTTAGGACAGACGGGCAGGAACTGAGAAGGAGGAAGAGGAGGAAGAGGATAGGGAACCGTTGGGTTGTGGACAGCCTCAGAGGACGGCTGGAGAGGACAGATCGGCTGAGAAGGGAAAGGGAGGAGAGATGGACAGAGGATGAGACTGGACAAAGGATTAAGCCCCTCCCATAAACAGGGTGTAAAGTGGGATGGGTTTAAGCTCCAGCACTTGTAGTTAGTTTCAGAAGAAAGTTAGAAAGGCGTGGCAGTTTGTTTTTTTACACAATGAAAGAGTACAGACCCCAGGTGGAGAAGGACGGGTCCCTGAATAAATAAACACTGCCCACTGACCTGGGAGTGGAGCGGATTGGTGGTTTGCTGCTGGGCCGCAGCAGGGAGGGGCTGCTGGGGGTTTTTCCCCTGCTGTGGCATCCTGCCGGTCGCCGGGGCGACGCCGGCCGGGTTATACACCACCGCGCTGCCATCAGGATGCATGAAAGGCTTGCCTGTTAAAACGAATTAATAAGAGATGGAAAAACAGCTGTCACGTTAATAATTCAGGTGGAAACCGTTCAGATCCACGCAAACCCTGACACGTCCAGCTTGGCCTGTGAGAGAAGAGTCAACAGGATTTAACAATCCCGGCTGTTCCGGAGCATCGGTTTGCACACCAGAACTGTGAGAAAAGGTCCGTGGTGCATATTTACAGATGCCCCCATCTGTTCCCGCATCTTGATCAGCCCCGAGTGCAAATCTGACAGGCAAACCGAGTGCAACCAGAGGCCAAGCTGGAATTCTGTCCAAAAGTCATGAATTTTCATGGAAACAGAAGGCTACGAGGCTGTAAAACCCGCTTTGGTTTGAAGCCCACCTGTGTGAGGATTGACCAGAACGCTGCCGGGTGGAATCCCTGAGGCTTCGAGGGGCAACAGGTAAAAGTTGGCCACGTCGGGGGCGGCTGGGGGCTGCGAGGGGAGGCTCTTGGTCATCTCGGGGTGCGCGGGGCCCCGGGAGTCCTGGAGCAGCAGGGGGGGGGCGGGCATGTTGGAGCGGGCTGAAACTGGGAGGGGCAGCTGGAGGCGGGACAGCGAGCCGGACGAGGACCCGACGCTGCTGCAGGACTCTGAGCCTGAGGAGAAAACACACAGTCATTACCCAGAAAGAGCCCAAAACAGACAGAGAATCCATCAGGAACTGTCGCGGCTCCTGGCTTGTTAGGCATTCACATGGGCGGAAAGAGCCAGAGGCCATAATGAGGCAGAGTCTGGAGCTGATAATGCAGCTTCTCTTTGGGCCGCGTCCCATTCTGGCCTCTTTAGGCGACTGCTGATGAAGAAACTGCTCCCTGTGCACCGTGTGCGATAGATCTCTGCCCGTATAATGAACAAATGTCAGACAAAATGGTGACTGATCCTCCCTTTGTTTCAGGCAGGATGCAATCTGGTACTCAGCACTTTAGGGGGCCGAGTTTAATACCGTTTAAATTAGACTTGGAGGAGTTCTCAGTTAACAACTTAGATTTGTTTTTCAAGGAAGTTTAAGAGCAGTAATCAGAGTTTATGGACATTTAGGTGTCAGGAATATGGGCCATATGAAACACTTAAAATGATAATGTCTCAAATCTGCATTATTCTTTTCTTGTGTTTGATTAAAACATTACAAGAAAGTTTAGCTGCTTGAACACAAAATCTAAATATTTCAATCCAGTGGTTTTCCTGAGCAGTTCTCCAGGCTTCCTGAGGGAAATGCAGAATTTTTCTTTTCTAGCCACCTAGGGGACTGAGCTATGAATTATTCAGGCTGATAATAGGCCCCCTGACTCAAAGGATGAGCCAGTGATGTGTCCACGTAGTAAAGAAGCAGATTAAATAGGATCTTTAGGCTCTTTGTTACAGCAGCCTGTCACTCGTCATTTGTTCCTTAAAGAAAGGACACAGAGCTGGTTGGAGAGGCTTCAGTGATGGAGAATTAAGGAGCTCAGAATAAGATATTCACTTAAGAGTTGAGTAATCTCACGTTCTGCATTTCGACTCAAGTGACTTTCTTTGGACATATATGAAGAATTAATGAGTTTTGAACATCTACCAAGCTGAGAGAGAAATCTTTCATTTCCACAGATGGTGTGGGAAATAAACCTAATTTGGCCTGTTTTCTCCAGTTGTTCAGAGGGAAAACTTGCCAGTTTCTGAAATTAAACTGAGGCTGGTCAGCCACTTTGTGAACAAGATAAAAAAAAAAAGCTTTTAGGTTGCTGCTGCAGCAGCCTATCCTTTAAGAATACAGAAAAAGTTTATTGGGAAAAATAGGAAAAAGAAAACGTCAACATAAATGGCAGCAGGGTGCGCAGAGGCCAACAAAAAAGTTCTACCTTGGGGATCTTTGGTAATAAAGAAAAAAAAGCCCACAATGCAGAGTATCTAATCTCACCCCATCAAGTCCCAAATAAATCATATTGTGGAGTAAGCAACCCAGCTTCTCTGAGAGCGAATACATAATGCAGCCAGTCCTCACTGTTAGCTTTTATTCTTCTGCTGGTACAACACTTTTAGAGCCTCTTCCATTTCCAGGCTGCTGTATGGTAATTACTCCTGACAGCTGTCCAGCTCCAGGCTGTCAACAACTGCAGGACAACAACTGTTTGCTCAGACAAGGACTCTGGTGCTTGGGATGCCAGAGATTATGCTAAACGCCAGTCTCTGTCCTTTATTTACTTTCTAATTTGTGATTTTTCCTTCTCATTCTGCAGGGTTTCACTCGTGTGAGTGGCTAAATTCAATAATCACCTGTTAATGAGACTAATCCTTCCATCTGCATTCAGACTGGCGTGTGCTTTAGTGAGCTAGCTCTGCCTGTAGGACAGGTTTGAGATGGCTCTGGAGGAAAGCGAGCAGGGTCCAAACACTCGCTCTGCTCTGCTTTAATGACCTGTGCTGGGTCTCTTGCCTGTTTTGGACAGCCTGCCGGTGCTCTTGCTGCTGGCCGTGCTGTCCCCTCGGACCAGGCCGGGGGAGATGCCGCTGAAGCTGCTGGCCTTGGTGATGGCGGGGCGCGGGGCCAGCCGGTGGGAGCTGTCGGAGCTGTCCGTGCTGCTCCACGGCCGCGGCTCGCCGTGGCGGGGCAGCGTGTCCGTCTCCGAGCTGCTCTGCCGGCTGGGCCCCGACTGACCAGCTCGTAACCTTTTTAAAGCGGAATAAAGATTCAGTTTTGACTTCTTAAGGTTCGGAGGCAGACTGTGCTTATTTTTTAACGTTAAACTATTCCATTTCTGGTATGAAAAGTGTGCAACAAGAGGGAGTCAGGGAGGCAAATCCTCCTTTACAGACGCCTTCCCGAGCAACAGAAACAAATCCTCAGATCAGCAACGGTGCTCCTGAGCGAGCCGATTAAGACAGACAGCAATTCAGAGGGATTTCTCAGCCTCTAATGGGAGAGTGACAGGGGCGGACCCACCTGAACATTTGCCGCCTCTGTTGAGTGCTCATGCATGCGTCTCCATCCTGTGCACTGAAGGGAGGGGAGAGGTGTCAGAGAGCAGGCTGACAAAATGAGATATCTAACATTTTCAGAGATGGCAGGGATGACTAATTACAGCTCTGACAGGAAAACTATAAAAGCGAGAATCATTCTGGACAGCATCGGTAACATTTTAAAGGCTGAATTCATCGCCTCTTAATGCAGCATGAAGCTGTCTGGGATCCAAATATGAACGCTTACCTTCTTTCTAATATGAAGTGATCTCCCTGAGGGTTAAAAACACAGATGAGAAAACAGACATCAGGTAATTAATCACTTTAAATGCTCCCACATTACGTTTATTGCTCAAATCTATAAAGTGGCCAACAGAGGCATCCTTTTCTACAGATTCATATAGGCAGCGTTAGTAAGAGCTAGCAGGAGATCTACCGAATTTGCACATGAATAGCCATGACAAAGATTTGTGAAACATGCCCCCCACCCCCACACTCCGCCTACACAAACAGCTCTCACATCATGTGCAAAAATCCTTTCTCTGGCTCGTTGGTACTCCTCCTCCCTCTCCTCCATCGATTTGCTCCTCTTGTCAGCTTTCAAACGCATTCGAATCTGGCAAGGACACGCACACACACCAACTTTGCTTTAGCGGCTACGTCAGGGATGCCAGATTGTCCCACCGCTCTCCCCAACGTGTCAGAAATGAAAGTGACAGCTTGGTGAAGAGAGAAAACATTTTTTAAAGCAGAAAAAATAAAAAAAACACCTACTGTGCTGTCTTCGCGATCAAAGCTGGAGTTGTCTCGTTTGAGAATGTAACGTTTCTGGAAATCGTCCGTCCTGTCGTCCTTGATGTGCTCCGAGAATTTCTGATCGGGTCTGTTTGTGACGAGGGAGGGGTTGACAAGTTTTAGAGGTGGCTTAATGTAATGCAGATTCTGACAGCAACAGATGTTAGCCGAGGGACGTGTCAGAAAGCGACTTCTGTCGACTGCCTGCAACAAGCTTATGTTGCAGAAAGCTCAGACCAATTAAGCTCCCCCCCCCCCAAAAGAAACAGGCTCACATTCTGGTGTTGGTGGTTTTGTTGATCACCACTGATTTTCCGCTGGGGTCCACGTTGTGGTCCATGCCGAAGTAGGCCGCCACCCGGTGCAGCAGCATTCGGTGGTAGGATGTCATGGGGGGGAACTTCCTCTTTTGGCTTCTACAAACGGACAGCAGGGGGGGGGGGGGGGGGTGAGGGCTCGATTACCACAACTCATAATCATCTCATGTCCACCAAGAAAATCTGCAAGCGCTCTGAAGTTTGCTCTGGAAATGTTTCAAGTGGCTTCTGGTAATCAAAGCGCTGATTAATTTTAGACTCTTCATTAGCGATACTGATCCAGATGGGACATTTCCCAAGTGTGCTGTGAAGGGATGACATTGAAACGAAACAGGCGAGCGAATGGAGAGCTCAGATCGTGTTTGGAAGACCAGAGCTGGAGACGGCCCACGCAAACAGCCACATCTCACACAGCTGATCAACAGATGCTCGTCTTAATTGTGCCACAATAACTTGATCCTGCTCTTGGCAGCTGTGAATATCAAATTTGGACGAGTGTCCACTTTATATTAGAGTTCGACTTTAATTCATGTAGGAATGAACGTCTTACTCATTATTGCTGATGAAATCCAAGATGTCCTGTTCCAGCTTCAGCAGCATGATTCGATCCCTGTAGGAAAAAGAGAAAACTCCAGGTGATGAATAATCGAGCCCTCAGATCATCAGATTCACACCGATTTAATCCGTTAACTGTAAACACGGAGCAGCTGCTCTTCTTTCTCCACAGATAAGATTAGAAATGTGGAGATGACTTCAATAAAATCAACCCAGCTGGGCAAGTTGAGCATAAATATATTAGAATTTTTCAAATATAAAATACACACAAATGTGAGTTCTAAACTCATGCTTTTGTGTTGCTTTGTACAATTATAGAAGATAGTGTTTTCTTTAAATAAATAATCACAAAAAGGGGAAAGATTTAATTTAAATTAAGTAGTTACTCTCCAATCGAAAGACAAATCCAGTTAAATGTACTATTAATAATAATGTAATAATAATAAAGTGTATCAATAATAATGATAATAATAAATATAACATTACCAGCATCTAGTAAATCAAGTCTTATTGAAAAAAGATAAATATCTAAAATATCATACTTATAAAAGAAAGTAGTTCTGAGGTTTTTGTTTAAAAAAAAAAAAAAAAGGTGGGCTCACTATCATGATTAACAAAGCTTTGTAGAAACCTCTGAGACTTTTCAGAGATAATTGGGTTGTTTTATTCATTCATGCTGAACTGTGGGGGACCGTCGCTCTCAGAAGTTTATTTCTTTAGGCGTGTTGTGGCCGATCAAAGCGTTTCGTTTTAGTAATTGTTTTTGTGAGTTTGTCCTACAAAATGTGCAGAAAAATAACATAAAACAAATCTGAATTTTACGTTACAAAAATCCCTCCCGATTATCTCTACTGGCCCTCTAAAAGCTTCAAACTGAAGCATTCCGGCTCACCTGGGGTTGCCTTTCAGTGTGTTGACCAGGAATTCGTGGAGGTCTATGCCTGTTGAATCTGTGTAGTCTTGGCTGGAATCTAATAAAAACACACATCCCGATCAATAAAAAAACGGTTAAACTCGAGCCTTTTGGAGTCTCTGTTCCACTCCGCTAGCTAAACAAATGAATCACTACCTAACACCTAATAAGGGATTGATGTGGTCTGCCTGAGAAACAAAGAGCTGGTCAGCAAACAGCAACAAAAGCAGAGCTGCAGCCCCTCTGTGGGGCCCTGCTTTCTATAATTGGAGGCTGCTCCACAGAGGGAAGCGGACACCTTCATAAGCCTGCGGGAATCCATGCAATTTCTTCGCACCTTGAGCTTTTCGCAATTAACTGAATCACGCCAATTATCAGCCCATAATGAGACATCGTCTCAAACGGAGAAGTGCTTTTGGACAAACCGGAGGACACGGAGCTGAAAAGAAATGTTTGGGGCTGGGTATCCCTCCTGACAGGGAGAAGGATATAATTATTAGGGGGCAGTCATTTGCCTGTGTGACACAGAGAGCTACAAAATTTGGCTTCATTTCAATACTTAGCTTCCAGAAAATGTGAAAAACAATTCCACGTTTTAAGGAGCCTGAGGTATGAATAGAAATGTTTCAGCTCTGATGATCTGAAATCAATCTTATTGGCTTTTTCTGTAGGTTTATAACAACTAAAAAGTCCTACACAGTGAATTCAAAGATATTTAGGATTAATTTAAGATCCTTTCCTCTACAAAAGTAGTGAAATTCATCATAGTTTTTGCAGAATATTCTTGATAAATGCAGCCTCTACTTTGTGATGATTTATGAACGCATGAATATACAATTAATGGTCAAGAATTTAGCTCAACTTTGCATCCAGGAGTGAAATATTTCTCACCTCTCGACAGCATTTTCCTTGGCGCTTTGTCAGGTTTGTCCACCTTGTCACAGCCGCCCTCTTTCTCAGCCTGGTCCTTGGCGCCACGTTCCTCGTTTTCAAAGGCCGGGGGGAGGAATCCATCCTGTTGAGGGGGGGACAACTGAAGTAAAATCCACATATGCAGTGGGTATGTTTCTGAAACACTTCATAACGACGTCGATTTTACATCCGTTTTGATTTGACCTTCTTCAGAGATGCAAAATATCTCACGTATCGAAGCAAAGTCATTTCACAGGACGTTAAAAAGCTAAATGTGACCTGTGTCTCTTCGGTATGACAGACAAGAGACCCTAAATTAGAAAAGAGGCATTAAATATGAGGCTTTTAAGTCCATGATCTTGCCTCAGGCCCTGGGTTAATTAGACAATGGCATCTGCAATAGAGGCCACAGCAAGACACTTAATAAACTCTCCTGGTTTATCACAGAGACCAGTTTCCTTGCCGGTAATAATGCGCCTGCGTCCATGAATTCCAAATCACTATGGCAATTAATCTTCCAGATTAGCTTGTTTTTATTAAGCCACCTGAATAAAACATGAATCTAAGCCTAAAATTAAACAACACAGCACATTTCATTCCATTAAATTCAACACAATGAGGGAGTTTGCAGTAATCCTCCGCCAACTGTACAAAAAAAGAAGCTGCAATCTGGCTGGAAGACTGTGGATCTTTGGGTAAAATCTATTAAACATCGCCTTGGTTTGACAGTGTTGCTCACACACACACACACACACACACACATTTGCGCACTCCCTCAGCTGTATCTGATTTGCTTTTCAGGCAATTCTACAAAGGCTGGAAGCAAAGCTGAACAGTGGTGAGGGGTTACGACTGCACTGCACTCTAAGTGGATTAAACACAAGTCTGGGAAGCCAACATTAGACAATCTACGAGTGTGTGTGAGTGTGTGTGTGTGCGTGTGGGAGAGAAAAGAAGTGACCTAGCGGTGGGAGAGCGGCTCATAACCGTTAAAGGTCACAAGTTTGATCCCTGTAACAGCTGTGGAGTAAGATAATGAGATGCTGCGCTTCCCTTCATGTGAAGACGTTCCCGACGTGTGTGTGAAAATGTGAGATGCAAATGAGAGACGTGACCGTCTAATTGCCCGACCGAGCCGAAAGCGAAAGGGAGTCCAGGGCCGTGTGTTGTTTGTGTCAGAGCTAAAGATTGCTGCCTCTCTTCAGGCTGGGAGCGCGGATGTTCCCTGGGCATGGCGGGGGAACCGGCGGGGTGGTGTGCAGCTGTTACCAGGCGCCTCATTTGTTTCCTGACACCCATTTACCTCAAGATAAAGGCAAAACAGCGGGAAAATGATGGTCTTGTGAATATGTAATGAGCGCGCTGTCAGTCTAAAACAAAAAAGGTACGGCACCTATTCAAAGGCCCGAGGCTGCGGGGCACGGGCTGGAAGTGACTGGCAGATGTAGCTTCTCAGGCAGCTAAGGATTGGACGGCATACAGATCCATGCAGCCTTTGTTAATCCTTAAAGCCTGACAGCACAGACAGTAATGTGACACACCGAACAAAGGGACGCGCACAGATTTGGTGATCATGAAAGTTTGAGTGAGAATCGGAGCGCGCTCAGCTCCGCCTGGTTTTCCCTTTCCTTCCATCTTTTTTCTTTTATTGCGTTAGCTCACCCCTCAAGGTTAGTTTGCCACAGAAGGAGTTTCAACTCCGGGGCCAATATGAGAAGTGGGGAAAAATATCAGGAGTATTCAATTAGAGCGCTCCACAGCTCTCTGTAGCTGACGTGTGGAAATTGTAATTTCCCCGACATGATTGATGGCGGTAATACGGGACGTCGTGTGAGTGCAGACGACGCGAGACTGTTGTGGGAATAACACCGCCCTCTGGTTATGGAGCTGCATGCTGACTGGCTGAAACGTCTGGAACAGATTCACCTGTGTGTGTGTGTGTGTGTGTGTGTGTGTGTGTGGGGCTCAGAGTGGCATGTAATGGGGAAAGTTTTAGCCTGGAGATACGGTGAAAAAGAAGCGTTGATTTAGCAAACTAACGGCCGGCGTCCTGCTGGAGCCGCGCGCTCTTTTTCTGATGATGGGATGTTTTTGCCGGGCAGCCGCGACCAGGTATTTAATCATAGCTGTCACACAAAGACTGCTAATCAAGCATCAGAGGCCTATCTGCTCCACGGTAATGAGCTGAGATGAAGATCTGAGGGCTGCGTTTTCAGCGGAACGCACCAGTGAGTCGGAGGAAAGCGCGACCGAAACGCCAACAGGGTCGAGAGACGAGTCCGGACCCACTCTGTCTGGCAGAAAATAACACCACCCAACATGGTGGTCCTCAGAAAACGGCTCAGATAACAGCCAGAGTCTACCAGCTTAAGATCAAACTATAACATGAAGTCAAACAGCAGGAATATGGTTGAAAATGTTCAGAGGATCCTGCTCTGTAAGTGACCGGTCCGGTAAAAAAAAAAAGGAGGCTACAAACCAAACAGTGAAAAGAGGCGAGGAGAGAACAAAATAACCTTAAAGGGCTCAGATGCAAAGTTTCACAGTGTTACACTAATTTACGCTAATATTTCAATAAATTATGTGATATGGAGTTAAATGCATCTTGGATGAATTTTTAAGTGTGTGTGGAATTTGAATAAAACAAAAACTAAATAAAAAAGAAATGAACTTTTGTAGTGAATGTGTCCTGACATCACTACATAACAGAACATATGATGAACACACAATGTTAAATAACAGCATTTCTACCCCAAATAAAGGTGAAAAGTCAACTTCACTTGTGTGCAGTGTTATTAGCAGATCTCATTCATATTCAGTATAAATTTAAAAATATGTACAAATACTAGCATCAGTATGGTTCCAGCAATTAGAAACATTAAGAAACGGAGAAATAATTGTGCTGGTGAATATCTAATCAAATTAGTGAGAGAATAATTAATATTTTCTCCATGAAATAACAGAGATTTTTTCACATGAGACCAAAGAAGGTTTAAACTTGATTTGTAAATTAATTTGTACATAACCCTTGTTATTTTCTGCATTGGTTTTATAGACAAACAAATGCTTTAAAATCTTGAAAAAGTATAATTGCAGTGTGAAAAATAAGGCTAAATTAAACAAAACAACTCAGTAAATATCAGTAAAAGTGGAGTTTGTCCGTTTTGAGGCTCGGAGAGCAGGGAATGAAACAAAACAGGATAATTTTGTTCCGGCACACAGTTGTTTAAACCCGCCGGCTTTAATGATGACGACAGACACGATGGCCGGACTGTTCACCGTTTGGACGGATGGAGACATTTTGGTGGTGGCAAGCATCCTAAAAACGTTTTCCACATCAGAGAACAACAGCAGGCACATCTCCAGAGTAAATACACTCGGGTTATTGAGGGAGATTTTTACCTGAGGTGCAGCTGAAGGCTCGGGAAAAGGGCAAGGAAAGGATTCTTCGCACACGGCCAGGCTCCGCACGAGCTTTAGCCTGGTGTTGGACTAAGTGGGGAGGGGGATGCAGGTAGGTGGGCACAGTTAAAAACCATGCACACACACAAATGCATCAATAGCACACATTGAAAAGCCAAAATATGACAGGAAAACAGCCAGTGAGCACCATCCAGTTGCAAGCAAAAAGGTCCAATCTTTTTTTTTTTTTAGCTGCTCAATTCTTTGAGCGACTGAGCTTAAGAAGATTATGAAGCTGAAATTAGACTCGGAACATGTTCGGCTCTCTCGACCAAATCAAATTAGAGAAAATAAAAAAGCCTTTCCAAATATTTGCAGAGGGATCATCGATGCTTAAACAGCCCAAACCAGGTGGATGTCTGGCTCTAACTTGCGTTGCAGCCTCCACTGTCACTCATATAATGGCATCTCAACAGACTGCAGAGGATCCGTTCTGCAGCAGTGCGTACAAAGACGTCTGACAGGAAACACGTGTACCACTTCCAAGTCAATTCAGGAAACAACGACATCCAATGCACGCGAGACGGGTTGAAGCATCCGTGTGCAACATGCAGACGGGAGAACCATACCTTTGAGTACTTCACAGGCTGGCCGGAGGTGGAGGGGAAAAGTGCACAGAAATAAATAAATAGAGAATAGAAAACCCCCAAAAATCTGATTTGACTGATCTGATCATATGTGAGTGTTCGAAGAGAAAGAAAACAGGTAGAAAACGTAGAGGTCCGATCCTCTAGAACCCAACCCGAGCCTCTAAATGTGTTTGTGTGGAGCATATGCTGCCTTTCTCACACCCCAAAAACACACGCAGTGCAGAAAACAAAAGCCAGACGTTCGGCTGTGAGAGATTGGGGTCAGTTCTGAGAGCCGTTTCCAGGCCTGCGCGGCTGTCATGTGAAGCGGGAGCAGAGAGAGCCGGCCTCACGCCCAGCGGTGTGTGAGACAGCCCGGAGCCTCGGAGCTTCATGCACCGGTGGCTGTGTGTGCATGTGTGTGTAAACAGAAGGTCTCTCAGTAGCACGCATAGCGGAGCAGGAGAGGGGACGGAGGGGAGGCAGACCTGGCTGGAACCATTTCAGGGTAAATTGTAACGGAGCCCAGTCTTCAGCTTCCTAATCCCAACATGCATCCACACACACACACACAGATCACACACACACACACACACACCCTGTCCTTCCATGCTGTCCTCTAAAAATCAAAGGACAACCCCCCCTCCATCGCTGAGCTTTAGGGCCAAATAACACCTATAAAAAATTGAAATGGACTCCTGTTCTCCATCTCCGCTGCCTGTGACCTGCCCACGTTTTTTCTATATCAGGTAATACGGGGGTGGGGGAGGGCTGGAGAGGGGGAGGAGAGGGCTGGGACTGTGAGCGCACCGCTACACCAGCTAATTGAGCGGTGTGGGGCCGGAGGGGAATGAACAATGCCGGCAGGAGATAAAGGAATGGAGAGGGGGAGAGGGAAAGGGCTGAAGTCAGCAGAAGTAGGGCGGCCAGCAGCCACCTGTCCCACCGCGGAGGGCTGGAGGCAGATGGCAGCAAAGTCAACCCGTCTTTCCTGGTCTCTGTGGCTCTATCAGGAGGCATCACCTGCCTCCCGCTCCTCACCCCGTTCCCCACGTCCCCCATTACTCCCACTATGAATATTTGATGGCTTAAACAGACGCCGCGACGCAGAGCCACCTCCTCGAGCAGAGAGGGCGGGGAGGGGTGTTTGCTTTCGTGTTCAGGTGTAATAATCTTACGACCAAGGCTTTAAAAAAAAAAAAAAAAAAAAGAGAGAACTAGAAGCAACCTACATTCGCAGAGGTCGTGGAAAACTACTCGGCTGAGGAGACTCGACATGTCGAGTTGTTTAACTTTGAATGTGTGAATATTCTTGTGACCTTCGCCCACTTTTAGGGAGGTCTGACTCCATTATGGATTAGAAAAACTGCTAATTGTTTAACCTCTGACTGTTGACAGGCAGATTTCCCTCCTCTTCCTCTATAATCCCTCCTTCTTACAACCTCTCCGCCCACCTCTCCCTCCCCCTGCCGCCTGCGTCTTCTCCACCCTCTCCTGCTGCTCCCCCCATGCTGCTGTCATTCTGTTCCTCAGGGTAACATAGATGCAGGAAGTTGGTAGATAAGCCAGGATTTGAGCTCCGATTATCTGCCTGCCTGACTCCCCTGCTCTCTCTGCCTCCAACCACGAAGGCCAGATTGGCCCCAAACCTATTTTTAGGCTCCAGCCAAAAGGGACTCGTTTTTCTTCTCTGATTTTTGTTTCTTTGACTGCGCTTCGAAATCTCTCTCTCTTTATTAAGGTGAGCACAGACCAGTCGGCGCTAGTTCTACTTCCGAAACCAAATTAACTAGAGCAAATTTCCTGAAGTCCCAGAGCACAGAGTTCCAGTGACATACAGCTAATTAATTAGCAGTTTATCTGAAAGCGATCTCAGCTGTCCTACATCCCCAACTGATCCCCTCTATAACGTCTCCCGTGGAAAAAAGCTCAACACTTTCCACAACCAGGTCTTTAAAATCCGACCCTCGGCTGCTCGGTGACACCCAATCTTCCTCTGACTGACCTCAGAACTGAGCACAGGCAGAGTCAGGCCCCTCATTATTATTTCAGACTGTGCAGATTACAATTGTCAGGAATCATTTTTCTTGCTGATGCTGCCAGGAAAACCGTCTCAAATGCCGCAGGTGACAGGAGATCCCCAGGGCCCTCCGATGCTTACTGAATTTTCATGGAGATGAGGCTGCTGTCAGGCGCCCACACTTACTCCCACAAAACCCTTTCTTTTTATGGTTTTTTTTACCTGAGCGTCCTTTTTATTGCTGCTGCTCTGGCTCTGGTCAGACACTTCACACTTGGTGGCGTTGTCCTTCTCAGATGACACCGTGTCGGCGGCCTCGGAAACCTTCATCGTGTCAGTGCCCACGATATCGGACATTCTCATCGCAAAGTCTTACAGGAAGATGCAGGCAAAAACGGAGAACCTGGAAAACAGGAAGCAGCTGGGTAAGAGCCGGTTTCTTCCACCGAATCAAGAGAGAGAGAGCAGCAGAGGAACACGACACAGGCTCTGAAAGTTGGGCTTATTGAGAGATTGGAATCTGGATCACAAGTGATGGCTCCGAGCTGTGTGTGGAGGCTCAGAGGTCCAGGTGATGAGGCGGCTGGGCTTCCACTAAAAACAATAAATAAAAAAGGACTTTCCTGAAAGTTTTATCACTACATGTGACATGTGTCACTGTCTACTCTCCACTCTGCCCTGGAGATGTCACAAGAAGAGGAGGCAGGAAAACGCAAACACAATGCCAGCAAACAAAGACTGGAGAATACATCATAATTCAATAAATCATGTAAATAGTGTTTTCGCTGCCTGGATTGAGGTTTTTGGGCTGTAAAGGACTTAAATGTGATTCCAGAGTTGCAGGTCTCCATCAGGATGAAGAAGAGTGCTTTCATTGAACAATAATGATTCAATTATTCTCAAATAGGATTGGAAACATACAACTGGTCTGGTAAAACTCTGCTCCTTTTTAATCTAACAGTCCAAAGTATTTTTTCATGGTTTTCTTTCATAACTGGGTTGAATAAGACAATTGTTCTCATGTGACAGTCAATTTAAAAACAAAAATAATAAGATCTAATAATAAGATCAGGCTCATCAGAGCAATGATGAAGTTACAAATGATTTCTGACATTTCAAATCATCAGAGAAAGAGATTCTTACACAAATCCAACCAATGATCCTTATGGGAAATTTAAAAAAAAACTAAATTACCTGCTGCCATTCTTCCAATATTGATCATAACTAAAAAAAAATATAAAAAAGCATTCCTATTAAATCACCAGACTACATTGTGTATTTGGATTATTATTAATTAATAATATCATATTCCAGTCAGAATGAAAATACAATATGGAAAAAAATGCAATTAAGAAAATAATAACCAAATTGCTTGACATATGGAGCATTAGACTCAAATTGTAAATTGACAAAGCTGTCAGCAGTAGATGACTATGAAATTAGAAATAAACTTACTTGCTCATATTAGTTCATGTCCACTTTAAAATGTTTGTTCTCCAGTGATATATTTGCATTTCCCATCTTTTTCTTGTTGAGACAATCTCGATTGGGAAAGTTACAGCTGAAATTTGTGGCCGTTATGGGGAATAAGCAGCCGTGTTACTGAAATTATTAACAGCACTCTGCCTGAACGCAATTCAGACATAATTAGTGACGCATGTTTCTGACAATCGAGAAAACCTCAGATGACAAAGGTCTGTGCAGCAAAAGGCGGGCCGAAGAGGAGCGGAGGCAGTTGGTGTCAACAGCTCAGTCTGTGGTCATCAGTCACCAGGTTTTCTGCGCCGCCTCGCAGCCCTGCAGCTGTTCTCTCGGAGACAATGGACACGACTGGACAAGACGCAGCAGGACGCCAGTTTGCTCCTGTGAGAAAAGCCGATGTGGAAGAAGGAGAAGAAGAAGGCGCTTCTTTCTGTTGCGGAGTGATTTACAACCAAAAGGAGACCCCACTTGCTGTGATTTACGTTTCAAAGGAATTATCCATCATCAGAAAAACGTGAAATGGTTTGAATAGAATAAACACTGGAAGTATTTTTGGATTAATCGTGGATGTACTGGGACAGCTGAGGGCTGTAATCCTCATTTTACATGGAGCTCCCATCGGAGCGCCGGTCTAAGTCTTCGGTGTTTGTAAAATAAGAGCAGCTGCTGCTTTGCACCGGCGGTCCACACAAGACATATCTGTGTAATGCCACGACCTCCCTTTGTTGATGTCATGGTGTGAGTTCATCCCGCTGATGGGCTCTCTTTATGCAGACCCCATGCAGCGCTGACATCCACACACAGATGCACGAGGAGGGTGGGCTGACATCTGGTGCACCAGAGCTATGATTAATAGGTTAATTAGTGATGGGCTCTTCAAATTCACTCTGCACATTAGAACCGGGTCCACACATGACGACAGCAGCTCTGTGCTCGGATGGGATTCGCTGGCGTTGATCAGGGCCGTTTTTCGATCGGATTGCTGAGAAGCAGAGCGGCCGGATAACACCTGATTGTTTATCTCCGTCCCAAAAGAGCTGAGACAGCGAGTGAGAGCCGCCGTCTTTAAAAATGAGCCGTCCAATTCCTCCACGTCAGTGTAATGGACCTTTAGCCGGGGCTGAGGAGGATGTGCTGCTAACCCGATGGCGTCTGAGGCTAAGAGGGGAGCAGGAATTTAGCGGGGCACCTGAGAGCCAGACGCTGAATTTCAATGACCTGTCAGAGCTCTGACAAAAAGCAACAGCGGCTGCTGCTTTACATTATTTTTACATTCTGAAAGAAAACAGCTTAATACTCCAGAGTGCCGCGCACGTCTCTGAATATTCAGTGTCTGTCGCTGACATTTTGATGAGTGAAGTCCCTCGAGTCGCTCAGTTGAAGATTTGCAATATTGGACAGATATTTTCAAGAGCCAGGCTTGAGATGGATAGCCATTTTGTCTCCCCCCGAATCATTCATTCTTCCAAACACATTTTATCAGGGGACCAGAGTATTGCACTAAATTTGGCTCCGGGACTTTGATGTATTCGTGCTTCCTCCTTCTCGTCTCTCATGGCTGAGGTAATTGCACTGCGAGCCTGTTTGGAATCCCCGATGCTCCGGCTGCATAAGTAATATGGATCATCATTTGGTCCTTGATGTTGCATTAAGAAATCCTGCGAGTTACAAACTGGTCTCTTATGAGTGAGACTGAAAGCAGATGTAACCAGAGTTTTCTCACACTTGCATCCCTGCACACGTTTAAAGCTCCTGTTGCTCTGTAATAACCTGATTCCTGCTCTATCTGCCAGCCCAAATGTGAGGACACATTCAAATCATCTTAAACTGAGGCATAGGAATAGATCAGACTGTGACATAAGACACCAACTCTAATTCTTTTTTAAATTTATATAAGATTGGCATGTAGTGAAATTAACAGTTAATTGATTTGTCATCCATTTCAGTGGGTAAACACCATTTTTTACCTGTATTTTACTGAGAAAAACAATTTATTTCTAGGTGAATTTAGAAAGACCTTTTGAGATTGAGGCAGCACATAATAACAAACGTGTAATAAAGACAATTGGAAAGTTGTTAGACGTCCAGTGTGCAGAGCAGGAACCAAATGGAAGAGAAGGAAGATCAAATGTAAAGAATTTTCCCCCTGATCATCATGGGGAATGTGAAATCTCAGGTAGAGAAAATGGCCGAGCTTGGAGCAGGGATATGGGGCAAAGACATGGAGGCAGCTTGTTTAATTCACCTGTTTTACCTGCTGACGTGTTTGTGACATAATCTTCTTATAACAGCGATCTATTGTTCAATCTATTCCGTTTGATATATTTCTAAATTGATCATTTACAGAATTGCATTCACATTTTTTATTGAAATCAATTCCCTTTTACTACTCAATCTCAAAATAAACACACCTTATTCTGGTGTCAATCAAATAAAGAAAAATTCATGCCATGTCTGTTGTGTTACCTTAATCTACGATTTCATACAATATATCACATTAATGGAAGAAATACTGGAAAATTCTGAAATATACACGGCTATTCTTTTGTATCGTTTAGTTTATGAGTGGAAAGCTTGAAATGCCATGACATGAAAGTCTTTGTTTGGATGATGTTTGAGCTGGTTCATTGACAATAAATCTATTAAAATGGCTCAGAGTTAGCGCCACCAGCAGGCAGAGAGTGGAACTACGGTTTAGGCCTGCGCTCATCAGAGGGTGAACCCACTCACTTGATGCGTAGCCGCTGGTGGTTGTGGCCGGTGACGTCAGAGAGGCTGAGCCTGCCGATGACCTCCGAGACTTCTGTGCCCATGTCGGCTTCAGCTGCTCTGCACAGCGAGCGGGGCCTCCGACGCCATGGTGACCCCTGCCGACCTGCAACCCAGAGAGGGACGGGGTTAGAGCCGGGGTGCTGGGGGGGGGCGGGGTCAGAGGTCAGGAGCAGCCCTGTCACCGAGCTCACGCTGACATATCCGCGCCACGCAAACAAAGCAAAAACCCTGAGTGTGGCGAGTGTTTATTTCTGGACCTGTGCGTGCCTCTGCACCATAAATAATGGATGAGCACAGAAATTGGGAGTGCGGCTCAGGCAACAGGAGAAGGCACCCCGGCCAGCCTCGTAAAAACCGAGCGTTAGGCATTCGGAGAGCAGCGGGAGGAGATGGCATTTCTCAGCTCAGAACCTTCTAACATTCGGTGGCACATAAATTTCACTTTGTCCCGCAGGCGATGTGTATTTTACAGAAAATTCCAGCTGAACAATAGCGCGGGGCTTTTGAAAACGCGTGAAAAGGCTGCTGCTTTAACGAGCTCCGTGCCTCCATTACAGGTGGTGCAGCCACCAGATGAGGCTGCTCCACATCAGATTTTTGCAATTACTTCATCATTTGGCCAAACATTATTATTTTTTTTATATCTTTGCTTTTAATCCAATAGCGCTCCATGTTAAAATGGCCCAGAAAAGACAGATTAGTTCGCTCTCCTTGCATTTCCCAGAGTCTCTCCCTGGTTTTGATAAGATCCTAACTCCCAAATGTCCTCCTGACAGCTCTGCCTGAAGCCAGAGTCTCAGACAGGAGCGACGTGCCACAGAGCCGTCGCCATTCGGTGCGCTGCCTTTACTCTCTAAACAGGTCTTAAAAACCTTAGTTTGGATTTTCCCTGCGCCTCTTATCTCGGTCTACACACTCTAAGCCCTTGTTAAATGGTGCTTTATGTGTGACAGGAGTATCGCTTTGCTGCTCTGGCTCTAGATTTAGCCCTCCCTGCTCCTCGCTGAAAGCACAAGTGATGCCATGTCAGGCTGCTATAGACCAGAGTGCCAGTGAAACGTCTGAACCAGAAAAAGATGGAATATGCTCTGTTTTTCAGAGCTGCTTCTGCAGCCATCACGCACACGCACACACACACACTCACACACACACACACGCAGCATCTGAAAGCTGGCATGACGGAGGCGCCTGGCTGCGGACGCTCCAGGTTTTGTGAGCGGGCAGCGCAGGCTGCAGGACCCCGCACGTCCTCCTGTTAGAAACTGCTCCGGCTCAGATGGTGAAGCATATCCATCCGACAGGAGATCAACAGCCTCTGACTGCTGCTGCCAAAGAGACACACACACACACACACACACACAGACACACACGCTATCTCCCACAGCCGTGAACTTGTGGAGGCGCTCCGCCCGCCCGTGTGTTGTCTGGTATTGTGCCGTGGCTGACAGGGAGTGGTTCATTGGTATTACAATGACTGCAGAGTGCAGCAACCTTAAAGAGGCTCCGGTTGGCATCGGTGGGCGTCATCCCACCCATTCACACTGCCGTCATCGCCTCAACTCGCAGCCCTCACACACACAGGCAGCCGACCTGCCCGTTAGCACACAATGCAAATTCATGGGTGAATTTAAATGCAGATTTGCAGAATCAAAGGGTTGGGAAAGCAGCCAGAGCTGAAAAATTTGCCGATTATTTTAAAAAAACAACACACACACACCAAATATATATTACTGACAGAAATGAAAAGTTCATAACCCCTTGAAAGTGTTTTTTCAGTAAATCGAACAGCAGTTTCTAATCGGACTGCTCTCATGATGACAGATTTCCTTTCACCGTGAGGCGTTTAAGAGCCTGCCTTTGATGGCAAGCCAAAATGCTTATATCTGCTTATTTTCCACCCCATCGCAGCACGCACACACACTCACCTGCCTCTCTCCCGCAAAGGCTGACCTTTCCCTCCCACACCTCTGCACCTCTGTTCTGCTCAGCTTTACGTGGATCAAAGCTCTCGTCTGGCTATAACCAACTCGACTAGAGGTGAAGGACCCCCAATCCGCTCGCTCTATCTGCTACTCCATCCCTGGGTCTATTCTCGGCAGAGAATGAAGAGTTAAAAAAAAAAAAGGTGGAAAAGAACAACACATTTTGAAAGCTTTTATGTACTCTAAAACAAAGCCAAGCAATGATTGAAGGAGAAAGAAGTGTGGCATCTTTCTGCAGGCTGTCGGATTATGCAGTGAGAAATAATTCAATTACTATTGCAGCTGAGGAGCTTCTGCAAACACGAAAAGGACGAAGGCACCAGAGGAGCCAAACAGCTGGGAAATTATACACAGAATAATTTCCAGACAAACCCACAGACGCCGTTACAAAGGTAACAGCTCATTTTTCACATTAAGCCACAGAAAGTGTTGCGAAAGCAAGAAAACATTCCACAGTCTGCACAAAAACAAAGAAACAAAAACAACAAAATTAAAACAGCAGACGGACTTTTGCAGACTATTTGACATTCAACTTGAATGATAAAAATCAGGCATCAAATAATCAGTTACAAACGCTGGTTCATGTTCACGGCGCTGCAATAAAATAGCTCTCAGTGTTTTGCTTAACTGGGTAACTAATCTCCCATTTTCCAACCATTTCTGCTAATTGCAAAGCAACGAAAGCACTGACTGGGGAGCTATATAATTGGAACAGAAGACGATTAGGGTAAAGCCTATGAAATTATATTACTTTCATACACTGTCTCAATTTCAAGCAGCGCCAGGATAACTCACTGCTTCTGAGAGCAAAGACTGAATAAGCAAAAAAAAGAAAAAAAGAGGCACAAATGAGCCCCTAATTGCGCTGCTCTCTGTGCCTTCAGGTTGCACGAGGCAGGGCGGCACAGCAGAGGTGCAGCCAGCCAGTCTTAATAAATTAAATCCACAGCAGAGCATGTAGGTAATCCATTACCTATCCCATAAGAGAGCTTCCAGGGAATTTAACCAAGGCAATTAGGGTGGAAACAATGAGCACAGAAAGCTGACATGCAAGTTTAGCATTTCTAAATCTGCGAAGCCTTCAGAGAGAGGAATAAAAAATGAAAAAAGTCATTAAAAGTCTATTTGCAGACAACACCTGCAGGGCAAACGGGGAAAACAGAAGCAACAGTGGATGAGCTTAGCAGAGTGAAGCCTCTTTTTGGCTGATCTTGGTTAATTATCCTTGTAATGAAAAGCAGAAGCAGTGCGGGGAACATATCAGCGAGAGCTCTGGCATAGCTCAGCGATTAATAAAGATCTGACAAAAGAAAAAAAAAGAAAAAAGAAGAATTTTCATGTAGCGCCTGCTCTGACAACCCGAGAAAAACGGCCACAAACTTGATTTCTGACCTAACGGACTGATAAAAAGACACAGCATGCAGGAAGTAACAGTCTAGTTACGTCTGTTAAGAAGAAGTGAGTTGAAGACTCTCAAAGAGGCTGAAAAAGCTCAAGCATAAAAGTCTTAATCGGATTAAAAAATGTGTCTGCAGACCTGCAGAGTGACGGGAAACTGCAGGACATACCTGTATGCCCGGCAGTTCTGCCCTCCATCCCTTCTGCTCTCTGAGCGTTTAGTTTCCATGGTACAGGAGGCACAATCTGCTGGAGAGGAGGCTGGAGTCGCCTCCCAGCTCGCTCCTCGGCAGCTTCCTGCTGCCTCCTGTACTCCTGCTCGACCGAGTGAGAGTGGGAGACGGGGAGAGGAGAGTGTAAAGGAGAGGAAGAGGGGAGTGGGTGTCACAAAGAGAGGGAGGGGAACGGAGGGAGGGGAAGAGCGCAGCGCGAACACTCGTCTACCTGCCACAACCCATCAAGCCAGCCAGCCTTGGAGACAGCGCCAAATCAACAGCTGGCCCCCGCGTGATGTCACAGCCTCAGCAGCCAGTCACGGAGGCCGAGGCCGGCCGGCACCATGGAGCACCAACTGAACCAAAGTCACTGGCTAAATGGGGCTCTTCATTAGCTACTCTGCTCTAAGATAGAGGCGGGGGGGGAGGGGGGGGGGGGGGGGGGGGGGGAGAGGGCAGCCAGGGACATGGGATGGATTGAAGGAGACCGGGAGGAAGAGCAGCAAACGGGAGGGAGGCGAAGCGGGGATAGAGGTGCGCAGAGAAAGAGGCGCAGAGGAGGAGAAGAGGAAAGGCAGGCGGACGCGGGAGGAGGAGGACAGCAGCGACTCGTCGGCGGCCAGCTAGGTGCTCAAAGAGCAGGTGGAGAGTCGGCGGGGAGGCGCTGGCTGCTGTGCGGCCGAGCTGTTCGCTGGGCTACCTTCCCATTAAAGCTGGCACCCTGCGATTCACACAAGGCCACCGCACAAATCCCACCGACTCCCAACGCCAGCACCTGAAACACCACCCAGTCACTCACCGCATCAGGACACGCCGTTTCAGGCTAATTAACTACAAAAAATATCACAACCTCAATCATTCTCTGTTCTGAGGAATCTGTCAGAAGATAAGACAGGAGGGAGAGCGGGATTTGGGGAGTAATCTACTTCATGAGGCACTTTCAGAATTACAGACAGGCGGACAAAGACGCAGAACGTCAAAAACAGGCTCTGTACCCGAGTCTAGACTGCCATAATGTAATTGTTTTCGTCCTCTCAGTCAGTCACACTTTAACAGCAAACACGGTGGGCGGAAAAGTTCCTGCTGTCACTTAGCAACCAACACCAGGCTGCGACAAGCGATCCGATCCAATCCTGCCTCATAATTGTACCATTCGTTATGCCAGGTCTCTGAAGAATTTATTTTTGTGCTTTCTTAATCCCGGGAAAAGGTCACCAATTGAACAAACAATTTATGGATAGGGGGATGAATTATTAAATGGCCCCGACCAAATATTAGAGGAATGAGAGATTTCGCCCCCTGGAAGGCGATGAATAATTTAGTCATCAGGCTACATCTTTGGTGAAAGCTATTACACAGCAGCCTCAACCTCAATGTGTGATAATGTCATCAGCTCTAAATACGCCCCAACCTGCCTGATGAATGGTCAAGAGAGCAGGCGCCAGGTGAATCTGGTGGGGCAAACAATTATTAGCACTTATTTTAAGCTCTGGGAGGTCATGCTACCACGGGAGAGAACTGGGGCTGTGATTTCATCTATTTTAAAAACCCCAGCCAGCAGAAAACATGCTAAATATCCCTCTTAAAGGAAAAAACTGCAGGGTAAAAATCGCACCCGGCTCTGCTTCATCTGCAGCGGCCGCAGGGACCAAACCAGCATCCGTTCACCAGGCTTCGTTGGGGCCATAATGAAAATGAAATTATCATGATGCTTAGGCTCATTGGTGACAACTCGCAGGCTCCCAATGCCTCTGTCAATTTCTACATAGTCAATGAGGCGATTATCGTCTGGGCTGATGCTTCTGTATTATAGTGGTTATGGCTTACTTATTAAGCAAGCACGAATTTGGGTTATTGGATTTTTGATTTATGGTCTTTGACAAGGATATATCCAATTCTACCCAGATATCCTATTGCACTTTTAAAATGAGGAGCTCTCGTAATGCATGTCAGCACCAAAAGCATATGCTTTACAGAGATGCATCATTATTCTGTATTCACCTTGGGATCAATGAAGTAAATTTAAGTATCCATCAATCTATCTTGGAGAGGACTTGCATGCTTTTTGTGATGTTTTATAGTTTAAGAAAAGACTCAACAAGCTGCAAATGAGGTCTTAACACTCTGCACATCAACCCCAAACGACCCTATTAATAGACCCTCCAGGTTGGTTTGAGGCAAACTGCGCATTGAAAAGACATTTCTTATCACAAATAGCTTTTGGTCTGTGTTCCAGGCACCCTAATATTAAACCCTGACCCCTGTAATAGCAGGCAGGAATGTCAGACTATCTCTGGATACGTTTTTAAATCCTCCACAATCAAACCCTTCGATTGTTTGTGTAGCGAATCCGTCACACCAGCTCCCATTACAAAACTTCACAATTTAATGATCCGTTTGTATCTGCGACACTGCAAACCTCAATCTGGAAGCAATAGCTTAGACCTTAAATGAAAGTAAGTGCATACAATTTTGCTGATTAAATACTTAGATTATAAGCCAAATGCATTGAACTGACAGTAAACATTAGCACGACGTCCGTTGCGGGACAAACAGTCAAACCGGGCCTAAAAGTTATTGAATATTAGAGTAATATTTCGTGATCGCTGTATAAATTACAAGACGAATGCCGGCCCAGTGTGTGTCTCGATAGGATTTACATTTGTCGTCTTGTTATGTGGTGTGTACTTTTGCCGAAACGCAAGTGAAGACAGTGACTTCCATTTGACGTTGGACCGTGTCGGGGCTAAGCTAACGTTTCTTACCTGGCCCCGTCGCTTTGCTAACGCCTGAAAAAAACGGCCAGACACCGGCGCTGTCAAACCGGTGCCCCGCCACAACCGGCCGGGGCTTTAACGGCGGCGGCTACCCGGTCTGCGTCGTTTCTGGAAAATCGGAGAGTTGGACAGGACACTGCAGGGATCTGGTGTTGTCTTACCGCTTAGGTTTACAATCGGTGAGCAGCCGTTGTTCCCACCGAGCGTGAAGTAGCGGCGGTTAGCGTCAGTTAGCGGCAGTTAGTGGCAGCGCGAGCGCGAGGGCTGCTTGTGCGTCACCTCCTCACGCTGGAGACGAAGGGTGTTTGAATTAAATCACGTCTTGTCGTCACGCTAATTTTTTGGGGCGGCACGGTAAAGGGCATGCACGCTTTTAAACGTTTAAACTTTTTAAAAACAGCGGTTTGGATTGTTTTAAACTTTTATTGATACATTTATTTGTTCAGGGATAGAGTTCAGGTCGTGTTGTGGGTATGAACACACACGGCGGGTGACCGCTGTCCTAAACCGAACGCACCCTGGAGAAGCCGCGAAACTGCTCCGGTTCTCCGAGACTGTTCAACCCACCACACCGCGACTCTTCTTAACTAATTTTACAACTGGTAGGCAAACTTTGCGTACATAAACGAAAGTAATATTGGTTTAGTCTCATTTAGCTCAGTTTTAGTCGTGCTCAGTTTGCACAACTTGTGACACAAGCTGCACAGTTTCCGAGGAATAACAATGCTATTTCCTCCAACGTAAGGTAACTGTAAAAGCTATATTTAAACACTTACTAACGATATTCCATATATAAAACACTGCTCATAAGTTATCTTTCATGTCTTGTGAACTCTCCAAAATATGTTTAATAAGCGCTTTTATTTCTGTAAGAGTGCCCACTTCCTGTACGGGGTTGCTAAGTATGCTACATCCATGCTGTGATGCTAATTACTTTACTGAAGTTAGCTTCTGATATGAGGCCATGGACCTGTGAAATTGAGATGTGTTGATGGATTTGTCTGTAAATTTTTGGCATGCACGTCCTGCACGAGGACCCCAACAGGTAGACAGGTAATGTCTTCATCTAAATTATCTGAATTACTTCATAATCAATTAAACATATTATGTAAACGACAGTTTGGGGTATGTTATAAATAAATAACTATAGCTATGTCAATCTAAATAATATAAAAGTGCTTCAAAAAGCATACCTTTTCCTGGATTTTCACAGTGTGTTAAAGGAGTTGTGAGTAGAAGACATAAAATGCTGTTTAAATTATGAAAAAAGAAAAGAAAACAACCAAAATGTGTCACAACATGACAGCACAGAGAAACAAAACCTATTTTGAAAGATGGATGCTGACTTGGATGAGGTCATTTGTCCCAAAATTGAGTCAAACTAACCTGAATTAGATGCAAATAACCACACAGGGATTCAAAAATCGCAAACGTGAAATACAAAATGGCCAATTGAATTAAAATATGTATTTTTATTATCTGTCCAATAGCTATTCAACATGCAGTGTTTTTAATTTTCCAGCTTACAATCCGAGCTGGCTGAGAGGAGGACTTCTGAATGGAAATGGATGATCATGCCCAGCAGACCTCTTGCTGTGATACAAGATGGTCACAGCAACTGTCAGGGCTTCCTCACAAGCTCCTGCAGCGCCTGATGCCTTTCCAAATGGAGGGAGTGCAGTTCGCTTTATCTAAGGATGGACGGTGAGCAGTGATGCAGCATGCTCTGTTTAGTTGCCCCATCTCTGACACACTTACAGAAATGTTTCTCAGCAGAGCTACTCAAAGCTTTCCCTGTTTTAAAGAGGCCTCTGTGGAGTGTTATACACGCATTTGCTTATAAATACACAGGATGTAGGATGCATAAAATGTTTTGAATCCTTGAAAAGCAAGGCATCATTAATCCAATACAGTAAGTTTGCACATTTTATTCTTATTAAATTCCTGTGTAATGTACAATATATTAAAGAAAAGAGTTGGGAAGAGTGTTTGATCAGCCAAAACCCAAACTATTCTCGTCCTTTTAGAGTAAATCTGCAGCATAACATATTTTCCATCGCAGCGCCAGTGAGTTTTTGGTCTGAAAAGAATAGTTTTACTCAGATAATTTGCCTAATGGAGCTTTAAAGTATTTCCTCATCACTTCCACATTGATGCCATATGGTCGCAGAGACAAAGGAGCCAGGATCCATCCTCAGAAAGTTTGGCCCAAAATCTCTATTCGGTGTTCAGCTTAAAGTGCTTCAGCAGAGCTGGACTGGTCCCTTCCCTCCTCCCTGACCAGTCAAGGCGTGAGTTCTGGGGAAGGTCAGCACAAGGGGAGCCAATCTGAGGGGTGCAGCGGTTATGTGGAGCAGCCGTATCGATTCAGGAACACTGGGAGGCGGTGCCCTCCAGCTCGGGCGGGTCAGGAGTCAATTGGCTTTATCTGCACTGTGTGGACGGCCAGTTCGGTCAATTGGCGTCAGCGTGACAGCCGAAGCGGGGCGGAAAAAACAGGAGAAAATACTCCTTTTTGTGGTGGGAGCTTTCGTTAATGGGATGTTTAGAACCAGGATGGAAGCAGAGATTCATCCACTGTCTTATCTATGGATGCTTCACCTTGTCTAATATGAGTTATGTGGCTTATTAGATTATCACTGATATTTCTTTTACGGCATTTAAACAGCTCATGATGTCTTTTTTGAGGTATTAGGTAAATGTTGTTAGGTCCCCATTTGTCAGGTTCCAGTCTGATGGTTACAGGGGTTAAATAAGACTTCCTCATTTTAATCTGAGAGGACCAAAAGAGGTAAAGACAAGACTAAAGTCTGATAGTTGACGGTGGGTGACTTATTGGTCCAAAACCAGGGTTTTCAGTCCAGGATCTTAACATTTAAGACCAGACCACCTCTTTAGATGAATACAGATTTAGATTAAACTCGACAAACTACCATCCTGTGGTTTCAAAGCGTGGATACAAATGTAAGGAAATAAAAAAATAGATAAATTAATGACCGTCTTGCACAAGTTTAGAGATAAATAAATACAATTATCAAGCAGACGTGTTGACCTATTGGTCGCCCAAAGCTTTTCAGCTGTCACAAAGCAGAAATATTGAGTCCAGATCCTCAAAAACCATTTATTTAAGCAGGGACCCTTAAACTGGTCCCATTCGGGCCGCTTTCCTGCAGGTGCTTCTCTGATTTAATCTTTTGAATAGACCCATTTTATCTGAATCGTGTGTGTTGAAGAAGGGAAATTAAACCTGCAGGATAGCGGCCGTCTGGAGTCTGACACCTTCGCCCTGGAAGAGTGAATAAAACAGGTCAAGTACTCCGGAGGAAGGCATTCCATCAGGTTTTGTGCCGGGCCGTTTTAGTTGGAGGTTTGTGGCCAATCCAAAGCAGAAAAATGTTTCACCCTGAATCTATTCAGGCTGTGTTGTCCCAGCTTCTTTAGTCACAAAAGTGGAGATAAAAAGTCAATTTTTAGAGAAACCCCAAGTATCTTTTCCATGTCTGATCCAATTGGCCTGAGTTTCTGGACAGGACCAGCCACTGAGTAAAGGTTTCCATTGAGACCACCAATAGATGGTGATTCAAATTGTGCATTTTAAAAGGTGGAATTTGTACCATCTTATTCATTTTTCAACATTGATGTCCAAGCTTGTGTTATATTGATATTGCCTGTTTATAAAAGGCATTTAAATGGTTTAACACAGTCTAAAATCCAGATGTGGCCCTCCTCTTGGGCCTTTGGAGGGTCAGTGGTGCTGTCAGAGTTGCATTGTATTTTTCTGTTCTGTTAAGGTATCGAAAAAGATGGTGCTTTTATTTATTTTGTATTTGCTCGAAAGAAAAAATGCTTGAAGCTTCAAACTGATCATAAATGCCCTCCAAATGTGTCCTTTCATGGTAAAATTAACAGTAGAGGGAAGAAGAAGAAAAGAAAGATTTATGTGATATATTGCAATTCCATAGCTCAAGAGATGGAAACAACCAACGTTCAGCTTTACTTTAACACACTTTGGATCAGAAATTTAGATTTACCCACAGATTTCAAGTATTGCTCAGTTATCTGCCTTTTATCCCTGGAATGATTCTGAACACACAACACGTTTCCACCAATCTGACTATGTATATTTATATTTATAAGCTTTTCTATGAATGTGAGCTTTGTTAAACACGTGTTATCGTTGATATTTTTGTCATATTTAGTTTGGTTTCAGTCTGTGATGGACAGAACATCTGGTAGGTCTGCCAGAGGCTAATGAAAGGAGAAGTTTAAACAAAGAGGCCGTGACTTTAAACTTTAAATGTGCTTACCTTTTGTAAATGCAGAGCCCCGTTGCCTCTGAATGAAGCATCAGACCCAGACGGTGACCCGCAGTCTGGGCTGCTCTCTCAGGGCAAACGTTGTCGGATAAATCAGGGAAAATGTGCACAGCGGTAGGACTTTCCTGTCTCTGCTCAGTTATTTGGACGAGCTGTGTAGACGTGCTTTATTTCCCTAGTTGCTTTTCATGTGGAAGCTTTGACCAAAAGCAGCATTATCGGGCAGTGAGTCAACATCTTTCTGGTGTTAACTGTCAATCTGGGCCATTTATTTCACTCAGCAGGGCCACAGGCACTATTGAGCCATTTAAATTGACCACTGTCCTTTTCCCAGTCCGCATTTAAAAGAGAGGAAGTATTTCTCATATGTGAGAGACCGTTAAAGACATTAAATCCACTAGCAGACATTGTCTTTGTCAGTCTAAATCTCTTAGATCTGCAATAATGCTCCAGATGATTGAAAAGTGTCTTGATTAAGTCGAATGATCCTTTTTAATACCATATGTATCATATTTGAGACTCAGTTTATCAATTAAGTATTTTAGTTTATAGTAAAAACATTACAATATGTAGCCAACTCAAATTTATTTTGTTAAAAAATTAAATAAATACAAAAAAGAGAAGTTTAATCTGTCTAATAATTTTCAGGTCAGTCGTCACAAAATTATATTACAACTAATTTACAAAGAATTTTATAATAATAATTTTATAATAAGATCCAGGCTCACATCTTAAGATAATAGAGAAGTTAATACCTTCTACAGGGTTTTATCCTAATTTATAACCATGTTATGATTAGTATAACATGCTTAAAAAGGGATAAAGCTTAATATGAGCCTAGAGATGGATATCAAAATTGATTT